ATAGAAAATTTGTCCGTAGGATTCTACCAAAACTAAGTAGTTTTGGGGGGGTAACTTTTTCAATATCGAAAAAAGTGGAATGACGACTTACCCTACTGTGGGCTTTCCCATGTAAGCTGCCCCCAACGCGATATCGCATCTGAGATAGAGACAAGGGGGAGGGGGCAATGACTCTCTTTTGATGTGTACACATGATTCCAGAAATCCTTGATCCCTTGTGATTCCCGTCCACTTATGTTCATTCCTTAGGTTTTCTAGTGGTAGAAAACGCTTATTTCGACTAATTTGAACGAGTTCCACTAGTTTCCCGCTTTTTTAAGCGATTTCTGTTGATTTCGATTAATTTTTATCTTGATGATTCTTCGCCAATAAATACTTTAAAATATCCGTGCTGGTTTACAGTAGTTCCATTAAAGTTTAAAATCATAGTTCCTTGTGTACAAACAGCTCGATTAGGCTCGATGTTCTCTCGAGTTCGATAGAATCTGGACATACTAGCTTATATCTCAGGTCTGGGATTCAGCTTTGAATGTTTTTTCCCCCATACCGCGGCAAATGGTCCTTGACATCACGAAAAGGGAGGGTAATATACGTTTTGATCACTATTCCTTAGTTTGGTTCTTTGATTTGTTTCAGGCAAGGATGGAAGAAGCGGAAAGATGCCTCCAGCTGGTTGATGTAGCCTTTCGCTACAGCACCGATGAGAAGCCTCTGTTGTCGGAGCTTCGGCATCAAACAGAATACGTTCGAACCATGCTGGATTTGCTGCCTATCCTCACGATTTCCTAAACATGATTCTACTTTGATTTGAAAAAACTGTTCTACATTTTAGACAGAAAATTAAATGGTTTAAATGTGTATTTGAAAAAAGTCACTTTATAACGCATCTTTCTATAAACCTTCCATTCTCTTCCCATTATTGTCCCAGCTTCGGATTCCTAATGCGTTCCGACCAGAAATTTTCAAATCGGCGAATGTGATAATTAGTGTTAGACGTAGCCTAGGGTCAGGTCGGGGAAAAATGAGACACCTCTAAATTGAGGAAGAATGATACATTCGTTTCTCTTGATTGGTTTGCATGCTTTTTCATCTCATTCCTAGTGTTGGGGTGCTTAAAACACATCTTTTAACATTCGACTTCAATTATTAACCGGTTCTGGGAAGTTTAATCGCTTGTTGTTGTCACGACACATACCTAATGGGAAACCTGTCCGACCACCTAAACGCAAGGGCTCTAAAACTTTTCTGCGGGGGTGTCATACTTTCAGTACTGCATTCGTATTCTTAGGAGTAAAGATTAAGTGTTCGGGTTCGTTGGAAAGCTGGGATTTCGGCGGTTCCGTGAAGCTATACAACATACCTGAATTATAATTCTACTGACAGTACGACTAACCATAAGTGCACGGGTAAAAATGAGACACTTGCGTGGATAAGAAAGATACACTCAGTTCCATTGACTTTACATGGGAAGCCAATGCGGGGAAAAATGAGACAAAAAATGGAGTGGCGCTGTCTCGTTTTTCCCCAAGGCGGGTCCCTATCTTATTTGCTGGGTTTTTGCCTGTCTCATTCTTACCCACGGATGTCTCACTTTTCCCCGAAATGCGTGTTGGGGAAAATACACATACTATTTCGGATTCTGCGTACACCACAGGTTGCGGTACCTGAATAACGCTTTAATTTCATTACTGGGGTTGCGTTTCATCGACCAGACGCAGGAAAACTTATCAAATAACCATTTACATGCTAGATAAGACAAAAGTTATTGAAATGTCTCATTTTTCCCCTACCTGCCCTACAGCCTTTGATAACTCGGTTTGGTGTACGCCAGACCACGTACCCACCCGACCCGACGGCTCCTCTGCACTCCACACTGCACACTTTGGCAGCTGGACACAGCGACCACGTCAGTCTACATAAGAGTGGAAGTCGCAGAGAGGACGCACTGGTAGAGAGACGACGCATGCCTCCGTACAACTATGCAGATACGAAATGTACGCACAATTTTAAGCGATATTATGCATAATTACGTAATATTGTACATAGTTACGTACAAATTTTGTACGTAGGTTATGTATGTTTACAGTTGTACGTACCTACGCACAAAACATTACATTGGCAGTCACTGCCCGCCGCAAAATAATTTGTTCGCTTTATGTGTGCTTTCTGCTCGCGAAGAGAGGGAATTTCAGTACGCTTTTAGGTCGCTCCGTGGGAGTCGCTCGCGGTTCGTCGGTAATAATCGTCTGGCCCGTACAGCCCCGAGGCTGGCCGAGGACGAACCCCGGTATCGGGCACGGTCCCCTTACCGGCGAACTCATGTTCTAGTGGTCAAGGCGTCGGGTTCCTAACTCGGATGACCGAGGTTCGAGTCCCAGCAAAGGTAAAGTACTTCCCAATAAAATGTCATTAAGTAAAATTACTACGGTGAAATAGAGGAAGAGGGAGGGGGCAGGGAAAGGTAACGATCGAAAAAACCACAATGAAAATATTTTCCTTTTTGGCTATCGGAAAGCTGCTGCCTACCCGCCAGTACATCTCCTACCCCCGGGTACTGCCACTGCCCTACCCACCCGCACCTCCTACCCCTGGCTGCGTCCTCTGTGAACAACCCCCCAGCTGCAGCCACCCCCCCCTTTTTTTTCACGTCCGAATAGCAATCATTTGGCGACCTAAAAGCAAACCTTTGGCGAACTCAAAGCGTACCGCAGGCGAACCTTTCGCGACCCAAGCGTCGGCGACCTATGACGTGCCAAAAGCGGACATTGTTCGCGAAATGTAACATCCGTGCGAGGGGGGGGGGGGGAACACTCATGGTAAATGTGTACAATGATTTTACGTAATCTGACTTTTAATTATTTTTAAAGATTCGGAAATTATTGTTTCATTTTTAGTATTTAGAAATATTTTAGAATATTTATAAGATATTTTTTTACTGTTCGTAATATTTTAGGTTTGTATTGACTTTTTTGACTTAATTTTGACTTTTAATTGTTTTTTTTTTATTTTTTCTATTTTTTGTTTCCTAATTTGGTTGTATGGATAAAAACTTGTTTACTAACAGTTGTAACACCTAATTGACATTGCAGAAGCACAGGGGGAATGAAATCAATACACTGTGATATATTATTGAGAACTTTATTTTAACATGAGTACAAGGCATTCTTCACTGATAATACAGATACCATTATCATTTATAGAAGGACAGGGAACTGAGTGTCTGTGATTTTTAACATCTACAAAGTTGTGATTTTGTGATAAAGAATGTTTAACATGGCCGCTTCCCGGGTGAAACGGTTTGTATACAACTCACTAAGAAATTTTATTACAATTTATAGACTTTTATAAAATTTAATATGATTGTGTACACCGTAATATAACGATATAAAGGGTGTTTTACAAATGTGTATAATATTTGGTAAAACTTTATACAATTGTATACAGAGGCATGTATACGTTTTTATAAAATCTAATGCAATGTATATACAATAAACGTGCCATATATAAAGCGACGTATATTAGAGCATCGTTGTACCTCACGCATGTATACAGCCACATACATGTGAATAAATGCCACCTTGCCCTACATTAGAATGTATACAGGCACATACACTCATAGAGCGACTAGTAACGTTTCTGGGCACTCCCCTAAATGTAGGCAAAATGTGGTTGAGTTCTAAAATGCAGCATAACTTGTAAACGGCTACACATAGGGAAGTGAAACAACCACTATTGTGCTCAGGGCAAAAAGATGATTCGGAAAGCATACGTGATGTAAACGACAGGCAACCACTCAGGCCGCTTCTCCCATGAGTGAATTGGAACGCTCAAGTATATATTGTATACTATTTTATAAAAAGGTATACTGACAAAGTAATACAGTTTTACCAAATGTTATACAATTACCTTTATACAGCTTTATACAATTACTTGGATACCTCTGTATACAAGCTTGCTGTCAATGTTTTTTCACCCGGGTTAAGCTAACAACGAACCATGAACATAAGGAGATGGGTCTGACTCCTCTAAAAAAAACTGCATGTAAACCAATTCACGTCACTCTTTTCCCTCTAATTATTTTACATCTTAAATAAAACGGAGTAATTTACCTCTATAACATTTGCCTCTAAGCCTTAGATGCATATTACTAAAGTACAACAAGTTCTGAAAATGCCTCTAAGAGCTGCCACAGTTTTACCTCTAATAGAAATAATGTAAATATGCCTCTAATGCATTTGCCTCTACGAAAATGATCGTATTTATACCTCTAACAGATATGCATCTAAAGTAAAGGGTATTTTACCTCTAATACATTTGCATCTAATAAACCAGTGATATTTTACCTCTACGCAATATGCATCTAAATTCAGATTATCGTCTGCATGCGGTCATTTTGCCATAGAAACGCGTTATGGCAACGAATATACTCTCTCTCTCTCACACACACGCACACTCATTATAAGGGTCGGATCGCTAGGCTAGAGCTGCCAAGCCGTACTTTGCACTCCCCCGCATGTAGTGGGCCCCCATAAAAGAGACGCGAAGATGTTTGGCAGCCGTGGCGCGGCCGTGACGAGGGGCGCAATGTCCTCCGTGACGGAGACGCACTGTAAAGGCGTTACTGCAACGTGACGGCGCGGCCGTGACGAAGGGTGCGCGTTGGCCGACCGAACCTAGGAGCCGGCCTGTGGGTAGGCAACCGCGTGGTTCTTGTGAGGTGTGCGGGCTTGCCTACGCTACGGTCTGCAGGCGCGCATACTAACTACCTCCTGGACAGGCCGACAGGCCCTCCCCACTCCGCGTTACTCGCTCGCGGCCTGCTGCTGCGACGTGCCCCACCGTTTTCCCTCGATGGTACGCACTTCTCCCTGCCCCCAAGTGTGGGCTGACCTTCCGGTTGGCCAGGCGTCTGCGGCGCCCTTGCCGACTCGGGATAGAACCGTCCAACCGAAACTGAAGGGCGTCCGCTATTTAATGGATGACCCGTGGAGGGATCATTATGATTCGATATGGAAACCGATAGACTATAGAATGTAAAAACGTTAACACTTCGTGTAAACTGCGAAACGAACCCATGATAAAGAAAACTAAATTCTAAATCCTAATGTAAATAAAGAAGTAAACATTTTTAGTTGTACGGGGTGTGCTTGGCCTATGCTGTCAGCCCATATTGTGTCTTGGCCCCTGCGGCATGAAATGGTATGCAAACCCACAACACTGAACATAGAGGTGTTCGCTCTGACCGAGGGGACCGAGGCACTGACCACCTGGTACCTGGATTTAAACAATGCTGTCGGTGTGGTAGCACGAATGTGTGCACCGTAGAAAGTTCGATTGACCACCAGAAAGCTTGGTGGCTGTATAAACATTCTAGAAATTAACTTCATTTAGCTCTCTGTTTTGGGTGTGGGTGCACTGTCAACAAAGGGGCAGCGGTAGTGGCCTCGAGCACAGTGTCTATTGTTGGCGGTACTTCGTGTTAACTGAAAAAACAACCCCCTGTTTAGGAATGTAATTGGCATACAAAAATTGAAGTTAGTAATTTTAAAGTTGGGATTATTAAGATTTGCGGGAAAAATAGTACGGAAATGGCGTAGACAGCGTACACCGAATATTGTACAGAACCGTTACGTTACGTCTTACGCTACGTCTTACGTTTTATGAAGACTTAACGTAAGACGTAACGTAAGACGTAACGTAAGACGTAACGTAAGACGTAACGTAAGACGTCGCACAGTGTTTATTGTTGGCAGTACTGAGGTAATGTGGAATTGAGATGCAACAGGTGGTCGCGGCGACGTGACGCTTTGGTCCCCCGCGCGCGGCCCGTGTGGTAGGAACTGGTTCGTTTAAAACTG